CTTTCCCTTTCCTAGCACTAAGCATCTTGAATTTTAAATCATTCTAAATACTGTGAAAATAACTTTCATCATAAACATAAATGTACTTAAGCACTATGTGACATGTAATTTTGTTTGTTTTTAAGGTTTATAAAACATGGTATATTCAGACTGTATTTTTTTCTTGGACCTCTAAATTACCATGTCAGACTTCTGAGACTTGCTTTTTTCTCTTTTGTTCACTCCATATTATGTTTTTTAGATGTATTTTCACTACTGTGAAATCCTCTTGTGTGTGATTCTAATCCAGTTTAATTATCCATTTTATTATTGAATAAGCAGTTTGGATTATCCTGTGGTTTCTGTGTTACACATGTATGTACTGCCTTGTGTACACCTCACGTTACACATATACGGGATTTCTCTTAGATGCAGTGTGGTTGGTTGACCAGCCAACACGTCAGGATAAGGAGCTTGCATCACTAAGTTTGCTGTCTGTATCATTTGTCACTTTTTCATCAGATGAATTTGTCAGTGAAGGAAGAATATTGAACATTCTTGAATATTGATCTTTGAACACTTCTTGCTCCTTATTTTGTTATGGACTGGTTTTATGGGTAACAACATTTTAGGAAGTTCCAGTTTTTGTTTGTTTGTTTGCTTGCTTGCTTTCAGATAGGCCCTCACTCTGTCACCCAAACTGAAGTATAATGGTGTGATCACAGCTCTCTGCAGCCTTGACTTCCCAGGCTTAGCAGTCCTCCTGAGCAGCTGGGACTATTAGGTGTGCCTCATCATGCCTGGCTGATTGGCTTTTTTTTTGGTAGAGATGGAGTCTCACTACGTTACCTAGGCTAGTCTCAAACTCCTGGACTCAAGTTGATCCTCCTGCCTTGACCTCCCAAACTGCTGGGATTATAAGCATGAGCTACCACCCCTGACCTAGAAATTTCAGTTTTTTCCCCAAAGTGTGTGTGCTATTTTACATTTCAGACAGCAACACTTGATCCAGTGCTTCCTGGTATTAGATTCTGCTGATCTGGCAGGCGTAAAATGACATTTCATTTTGGTCTTATATTCCATATCTCTCTCTCTCTCTTTTTTTTTTTTTTTTTTGGTGACAGAGTCACAAAATCCTGCCACCTAGGCTGGAGTGCAGTGGCATGATCTCAGCACACTGCAACCTCTGCCTCCTGGGTTCAAGCCATTCTCCTGCCTCAGCCTACTGAGTAGCTGGGATTAATAGTGTATACCACCACACCTGGCTAATTTTTGTATTTTTAGTAGAGATGGGGTTTTCCCCATGTTGGCCAGGCTGGTCTCGAACTCGTGACCTCAGGTGATCTACCCACCTTGGCCTCTGAAACTGCTGGAATTATAGATCTGAGCCACTGCACTGGGCAAACCCATCTTTTCTTATGTTTATTGGTCGTATGTACTTTTGTAAAGCAATTATTCTTGACTTAGTTACTTTTGTATAATATTTGTCTTTTTCTTTATAGATTTGATCTTATGTACTAATCTTTTACAAGTTACTGTACTACATGTTTTCTTCCATTTTGTTGCTTGTTTCTTTTCTTTTGGAGTCTTTTAATAGAGAGGAGAAGTCCTCGATTTTAATAGTTATACATTTCAGGGATGGATGCAATAGCTCACACCTGCAGTCCCAGCACTTTGGGAGGCAGAAGTGGTTGGATCGCTTAGGGATAGGAGTTAAGACCAGCCTATGCATCATAGCAAAATCTCCATCTCTATCAGAAAATAAAACCAGTGAGACACAGTGGCGTACGTCTGTAATCCCGGCTACTCAAGAGGCTGAGGTGGGTGGATGAGTTGAGCCCAGGAGATGGAGGCTGCAGTGAGCTATGATCTTGCCACTGCACTCCAACCTGCATTACAGAGGGAGAACATTTCTCTTAAAAATATATAAAAGTAATTTTTTAAAGTGTTGTTTATCTTTTATCCTAAGTGCTTTTTGTGTCTTGTTTAAGATATCATTCAAATTTTATTTTTTCAGGTGTCTATCTAGAATTTTTATTTGTGGTTAACATATCAAAATGCAGTTGGTTTTATATGGTAGTTTTATAGCTCACTGCCTTTCTAAACCCTGTCATTATTTCTAATAAGTTTTCTGCAGATTTTTGTTTGTAGACAGTTTTACTCTCTGCAAAGTTTAACCATTTTCTTTTCAGCTTTCCTTTAATTTTCTTCTTTTTTCCTTTGAAACAGGGTATCGCTCTGTTGTCCAGGCTGGAGTGCAGTGGCAAGGCCTTAGCTCACTTCAGCCTTGGTCAACTCCCAGGCTCAGGCAATCTTCCTCGCTCAGCTTCCTGAGTAGTAGAGACTACAGGTCCTCATCATCACGTTTGGCTAGTTTCTGTATACTTTGTAGACATAAGGTTTCGCAGCGTTGCCTAGGCTGGTCTCTAACTACTTGACTCAAGTGATTCTCACCCACCTTGGTCTCCCAAAGTGCTGGACTTACAGGCATGAGCCACTCCGGCCAGCCTAATTTCTTTTTCTTAATTGACTGTGTTGGCTTTGGCCTGTGTGACAATATTGAAGGGAAACAGTAATATTGGTATTCTTGTCTTGCTCTTAATTTTATAGAGAATACTGTTGGCATCTGTCAGTGCAGAATGATATTTGTTGTAGGATTTTTGAGAACAGGCTTTTGGAGATCAGGAACCTTCCTTGTAGCCTTGGTTTTCCAGGAGCTTATACTGAGTTTTATCAGACACTTTTCTATGCATGTAATTAAATAAGTTTGTAGAGTAACTAATGTTAAGTCATTCTTCTGTTACTGACATATTACTCTGTCTAGTATAGATATTCTTTTTTAATATATTGCTCTATTCTGTTTTCATATAATTTGCTTAGTTTTTCATTTGTGATTACAAATGAGATTTAGCCTAGTGCCCTCTGATATTTCTTATCCATTGTCACTATTTGATTTGTGAATCAAGGTTATACTGGTATCATAGACTAACGTGGGAGTATTCCTTCTTTTTCTATTCTCTCTCTCTCTCTCTCTCTTTTTTTTTTTTTAAAGACGGGATTTTACCATGTTGGTCAGGCGGGTCTTGAACTCCCGACCTCAGGTGATCCGCCCTCCTTGACCTCCAAAGTGCTTGGATTACAGCCATGAGCCACCTCACCTGGCCTCTTTTTCTATTCTCTAGGAAAGATTATATAAGATTGTAATCATCTTTTTTCTAAGAGTTTAGTAGACTTTCCCAGAATAAAACATCTGGACCTGTGTATTTTTAAGTTTTATAGTTGTTTCCATTTTTCTAACTAATATAAAGACAGTTCAGAACTTCTTTTTCTTCTGGAATCAGTTTGATAAAAAAATTTTTTTTTTAGTAATTTTCTCATTTGATCTAATTTTAAAATTTTACTTGGAATAAAGTTTTTCAGAATATATTACCACTTCCTTTTTGACTTTGCTCTGTCATGTTCTTTCTTCCATTCCTCTTATAGTGTTTTTATACCATCTCTCTCTTTTTTGATCAGTTACATTTACCATTTTTATTCATCATTTGAAAGAACCAACGTTTGGGAATATTAATTCTGTCGTATATTTTTCTAAATCCCTAGTGTATTTTTTTCCTATCTTCTTTTTTTCCTACCTACCTTCTATATTGTTTTCTTTTTCTACTATCTATTAAAGGACATAGAGCATATCCACTTTGAGCCTTTATTTCTTTCCTAATTTAAGCCTAAGGCTTTGCATTCTCTGTAATTACTACTTTTGCCTCCCACAATTAAGTTTCCAAGCATAGAGAAGTTTATTTTTATATTTTAAATATCTACTTTTATTACGTTGTAGTTGGAGAAATTGAGCTGTATGGCAGTGGTTGTTTGAAATGCGTGAGAACTCACTTTGTGACCTAATTTGTGATCACTATTTTTAAAATGTGTGAGAGCTTGAAATTAATGTGCATTAATCCCTAATTTGGTGGATGTAGAATTCAGCATGTGTACATTTGTACCATCTTTCTGTGTTCATATTTGTTCTATATCTTATTGAGAAGTGTATTCAAATCCTTTATTATGATGTTTGTCTTTGTTTCTTCCCTGCCATTCTGAGTTTTTGCTTATATCGGTTTTTTGTTTGTTCATAGATGTAGCCTCGCTCTGTCTCCCAAGCTATAGCGCAGTGGCGCAATCTTCACTCATAGCAACCTCTGTCTCCTGGGTTCAAGTAATTCTCCTGCTTCAGACTCTCGGACTATAGATGCACACCACCGCGACTGGCTTCTTTTTTTTTTTTTTTTTTTGCATTTTTAGTAGAGACAGGGATTCACCATGTTGGCCAGGCTGGTCTCGAACTCACCTTGTGATCCAGCCACCTCAGCCTCCCAAAATGTTGGGAGTGAGCCATGAGATCCGGCTGCTTATTTTGACATTAGTTTATTAGATTCCTAAAAGTATAGAAAATTAATAATTTTCTCATGTGAAATAACAATTTTCTCATGTAATTTGTTTTTGATATGTGCTTCTGTTACACTGTGCTGGACTTGTTGCGTTGTGTCCTCTCTAGTCAAAATTTTATCCTCTTGAGATTTCAGTGAATAGCTGGGTCAACCACGTTTCACCAGTACCTGAGTCAACATATATACTTGTCAATCATCTGTTAAATGTAAATAAATTATTTTTATTTCGCCTTTTTTTAAACTTTTTATTTTAATGCATACAGAAAATCGAAAATCCTAAGCAGACAGCCTCGTTCATTTCTCCAAATTCCAAACCTAGAAACAGAGCATTACTGGCACCCTAGGACATTCCCTTTTTCCACTGTTCTGAGTGCTGACACCATAGATTATTTTTTGCCTGTTTTCAAGCTTTGTCGTACACAGTGTGTGTTGTTTTGTGCCTGACTTCTTTTGTCAATTGTATGGCTATGATATTTGTCTGTCTTACTGTATATATTTGTATTTCAGACACTCACAGCTGTGTAATGATAACTTTTACCTTTTTCCACATTGAATTATTTGTTCTTATTCTTTTACTTATAGAAGGAGCTGAAGAGGAAAAAATGGAAGCCGATTCTGATGGTCAGCAGCCTGAAAAGGTAACACAGCAGTAAAACCACAGATAGCATGCCTTTAAGAGCATAATGGTTTGTTTTCTGTGTGTTTTTGAGTTTCTCTTAAGAGACTCTTAAATAATTCTGTCAGCCACTTGGACTTTGCTGGTGTAAGGTATAGTTCTCACAAGATATAATATAGGACATTTTTCATTTATTTAATGGGGTAAGGTATATTCACCCCCTATCCTTTTGTGCCCTTTTCAGGCACAGTTGGGAATATGAATACAAAAGTTGTAGTTCTTGTGAATATCGAATTATAAGGTTTGTGTCCTATACTTGTGCCAGAAGAGAATGACAGGGTAGTAAGTGATTTCCTATGAGGGCTAAGTGCCTGCAGAAGAATCTTTAGATAAGGATTAATGAGAAGGTGACATTTGAGGTAGGTTTTAAAGAGTAGGTAGAACTATAAAGATTGAAATAGAGGTTAGAAAATTAAAGATTCCCCCTAGTTGGGGAGGAGAGACACTAAAGCCAGTATGTGAAGAGCTTCAAAGTAGCCAGCATGTTAGTGGCTCAATCTCTGCTCCGTAGGAGAATGTAAATGCACGATGGGTGAGGCAGAAGAGGACATTACAAAGGTCAAGATGTGGGCCTTTGTTTTTTTGTTTGTTTGTTTTTGAGACAGTGTCTGTCTGTCTCCCAGTCTGGAATGCAGTGGCATGATCTAGGCTAACTGCACCCTCCGTTTCCTGGGTTCAAGCGATTCTCCTGCCTCACCCTCCCAAGTAGCTGGAATTATAGCCATGCACCACCGTATCCAGCTAATTTTCATGTTTTTAGTAGAGGCGGGGTTTCACCACGTTGGCCAGGCTGGTCTTGAACTCCTGACCTCAGATGATCCACCCCTCTCGGCCTCCCAAAGTGCTGGGATTACAGGTGTAAGCCACTGTGCCCAGCCCCAGGCTGTTTTTAATCAACAAATAGTATCAGTTCATTCCACTCACATTCCTCTGAGCATTGTAACCCTTGCTTTATAGCAGAGTATGCAGAGGACGGGGACTCTGTGCTTTGGAGACATATTATCTTGTGAGCACTCAAGTGCTGAAGTGGTGGAAAGTATTGTTCTGAATTTGTTATTTCTTTTCCAGCTCTTCTCTTCAAGTTACGTTTGAATCTAGTCTTATTTCTTGCCAAAAATATTGGAACCTTTTGCTAGTTTAAGGTAATTACTCATAAAAAGGTCTGGGTTTTTTTTTTTACTCACTGCCTGTCCTCTTGTTTTGTATCCCTTTCAGGCAGAAAAAGTGGAAAATGAAACGGATGAAGGTGATAAAGCACAAGATGGAGAAAATGAAAAAAATAGTGAAAAGGAACAGGATAGTGAAGTGAGTGAGGATACCAAATCAGGTAATTTGAGGAAATTCCTTAGATATTATTATGTAAAACTCTAAAAAGCACTGGAGAAATGTAGGTGGTTATTTATATAGAAATATTTCCTCATTTATTTTGGGTTTGTTTCTTAATGTAACAATAAGTATGTAATTGAGTTTCATTTAGCAGATAAGTGCTAATACTAAGGCTGGTGGCTACACTTTTTCTCTGTGCTTTTAGTATGTAGAAGAACAAGTTACTCAACAGGATCAAAGTCACCTAATAGACTTGCCATTTTATTTTCTGTGTCAGTTGCTGATGCACCCCATCATGCTTGTCAGGCTTACAGAAGTACTCTGTTCTCAGCTTCTGATTTCCTACAGACCTTAGACTTCCTTGAGCATTTCATTGACTGACGAGCAAGTATGTTGGTCTTAGACTTAGTTCCCCTAAATCTTCCTTTATACCTATCCAAGGGACCTCCACACAGAATTTAGCATAATGATAGGAAAACAAGTGTACTGTTTTGAAAATATATCCCCAATAGAGGCAGACCTAAATGCATGAAATGGCTCAACAAAACTCTTAAAAGGAAGAAAAAAGCATAAACATCTCTTTGTCACATCAGCCCTAGTTTGTTATGTGGTGGAGGTAAGGAGAAAGATTTTTAAGACTGGGCACACTAGTAATAAAGCTTTCTGATATTTTCAGAGGAAAAGGAGACTGAAGAGAACAAAGAACTCACTGATACATGTAAAGAAAGAGAAAGTGATACTGGGAAGAAGAAAGTAGAACATGAAATTTCCGAAGGAAATGTTGCCACAGCCGCAGCAGCTGCTCTTGCCTCAGCTGCTACCAAAGCCAAGGTTTGCCCCCGACAGCCCTTTTCCAGTGCTCTCTTAAGCCATGAATGGTCGTATTGTTTTTAGTTAATTGGGAACATTTAGTATAAAGAGTTTTGCTCCCAATCGGAGATGACTATTTGCTTGAATGGCATTTCTAGGTTAAGAAATCCACAGGCAGGAGAAGGATGATAGAAATAGCAGATCCAGTCTAAAGGGTGACTTCTTTCATTCCATTCATTGTGACATTTAGTCTTGTAAAGACTACAGAGATTGAAGGCAAATTTTTAAGTCTCTTTAAGGAACTGATTATTTTGTTTTTAATTTGCCTGCAGAACTTATCTTAGACTATTGTTCCAATAATTTCTACCAGATTGAAATATTTATGATTTTTAAAACAAAAACCTGTTTCCTTGTATAAATACTTCACCCTGATCCTACAGACTGAAAGGAGAGAGAGAGAGACCTTAAAATAGCTCTTTTTCTTCTTGAATTTGCCAGCTTTTCTGGGGGTGGTTTTTTCTATTTATAGTATTAGCTGCAGAGTGTATTTAAGAAGACACGAGAATGTTATTTTCCTCTCTTTGTGTTAATTTAACATTTTAAGTCATTCTAAACATGAATATGTAAAGTTTTAAAAAATCTTTTCCCCTTTTCTTCATTCTACTTCAGAAGTACTTTCCTTCCATCATAGGATATCACATTTCAAGAAACAGTGATTACTAGAACATTCCTAATCATTTTATTTTGAACTGTTCTTGATCTATTAATAAAGATGCCTTTTCATGGTCTTTAATTCCCCCAGATCGTTCAGATACTGTGAACTACCTCTCTCAGTGTTTAATCTGATGAACCAATTCAAACTGTGAGATCACTGTTTTGAATGCCCACCCATCTGACAGAGATTGAGACAATGGAGGTTAGGGAGGTATTTACAGGCCACAGCACGTGCTCAGTCAACTTAAACAGTTACTCCGGCTGATCATTGTTATTATACTAACTTGAAGTCCTACAAATTCATACTGGCTGCTCTTTTCCTAATAACTAAAACTAGCCAATACTTCCTAATAATTAAAATTAAAGAATCAGAAATATCAGGAGATATTTTTCTGATTCGTTAGCTAATATTAGTTATTATCTCTCCCCTACATCCCCATCTCCTCTGGGAAGTTTTGAGGTATATGTTTGCCTAAGTGACAACTAATGTAATTTGACTTTTTTTCACCATTTGTCTGGTTTTGCTCTTTCATTGCAACCATCTTTTTTAGTATGTCATCTGGCACGCTAGAGTTTAGGCATCTCTTTGTCTCTGAGCTGCTCAAGTTCCTCACTGTAATACTGTCATTAGGTGTCTTAGAGAACTTAAGGATTATCTTGGTCATGGTCTCTCACCGTGTGTGTGTGTGTGTGTGTGTGTGTGTGTGTGTGTGTGTGTGTATATCACACACACACACACACACACACACACACACACACACACGTATGGTGAGAGACTATGACCA